CTATAGCCCACCAAAATCGCTCAAAATGACCCTTTTTTGACCAAAATGCATGGGCTATAGCCCACCAAAATCGCTCAAAATGACCCATTTTTGACCAAAATGCATGGGCTATAGCCCACCAAAATCGCTCACAATGACCCTTTTTTGACCAAAATGCATGGGCTATAGCCCACCAAAATCGCTCAAAATGACCCTTTTTTCGTCAAAATGCATGGACTATAGCCCAGAATCGTATGTTCCAACTGTTAACAATGTATTTCAATTACAACCACCATCCGTTGATACTGTCTGTAAACTCGTCAGTAGTATCAATGAGAAAAAAGCAGTTGGCCTTGATAACATTCCAAATAAGCTGCTCAAAATATCCTCACATATAGTAGCACCAGCACTTACATCTATATTCGCACAATCAATTGCTACTGGGATATTTCCAGCTGAATGGAAACAAAGCAAGGTCACACCTATATTCAAAAAAGGGGAAAAATCTGATCCAGGAAATTATAGACCGATCTCGGTTATATCCTCAATATCAAAACTTTTTGAAAAAATCATTTACGAACAACTATATAGCTATCTCAATGACAACAAACTCATAACAAACTGTCAGTCGGGTTTTCGCTCGCTACATAGCACCGTAACCGCTTTACTAGAAACGACAAATGACTGGTCAATGAATATTGATAAAGGCATGGTCAATGGTGTCATCTTCATAGACCTGAAGAAGGCATTCGACACTATCGACCACAGAATATTACTTATGAAACTTGAAAAGTACGGCCTTGACGACCAGTCATTGAAGTGGTTTACTTCCTATCTGAGTAATCGTGCTCAGAGGTGCAATGTAGGAGGAAACCTATCACGTTCGTGCGCAGTGAGCTATGGCATACCGCAAGGTAGTAACCTAGGTCCACTCCTCTTTCTCGTGTATATTAACGATCTGCCAAACTGTTTAACAAATGCATCTCCAAGGATGTTTGCTGATGACACAAACATCACTTTATCGGCACATACAGTTTTAGAATTAGAAGATAGTGTAAACGAAGAGCTTGTTAATATTCACAACTGGCTTATTGCGAACAAGCTTAGCTTAAATATAACAAAAACTGAATTTATGATCATAGGTTCTCGCCAAAAGCTCACTGCACACAGTCAAGAAACAATTAATGTTAAAATTGATAACAAGAATATTAAGCAGATAGACCACGCTAAATCACTAGGGGTAACTATTGACAATAACCTTTATTGGTCAAATCACGTTGGAGAGCTCTCGAGGAAAATAGCTTCCGCAATTGGAGCTCTCAAACGTATTCGTCCTTTTATATCGGAGCAAACCGCAATTCATATCTATAACGCGCTCATCCTCCCACACTTTGATTATTGTTGCGCAGTGTGGGATGGATTAAATGTTACTCTTAGTGATCAGCTACAAAAACTGCAAAATAGAGCGGCAAGGGTTGTCACTAGAACAGGCTATGACATCAGATCAACAGACATCCTTTGCCAGCTAAACTGGGACAACCTTTCTCTTCGCAGGAAAAGGCAGAAAGCGTTACTCATGTTTAAAATTTTACATGGTAAAGCACCCAGTTATTTGCGTAATTTATTTAATCAAAATAGAATCAACTATCGATTGAGAAACGCTGAAAATAAGCTATCTTTACCAAAACCAAACACAGAGTATTTGAAAAGAAGCTTCAGCTACAGCGCAGCAAAGCTTTGGAATGAACTTCCACAACACATAAGAAACATAAGCTCATTCCAAGCATTCAGGAAAGAAATTCAGCAAACTGAAAAACAATACCAAAGCTTTTAATACCGCAATTTTAAAGTATTATTGTAAATAGCTATAGATTGAGATTTTTAACCGTGTATAAATAAAGATTATTCCTTCCTTCCTTCCTTCCCACCAAAATGGCCAAAAATGATCGATTTTTGATGAAAAAGCATGCGCTATAGCCCACCAAAATGGCCAAAAATGGTGGATTTTTGATCAAAAAGCATGGGCTATAGCCCACAAAAATGGCCAAAATGATCGATTTTTGATCAAAAAGCTGGGCTATAGCCCACAACAATGGCCAAAAATGGTCAATTTTTGATCAAAATGTATGGGCTATAGCCCACCAAAATGGCCAAAAATGGTGGATTTTTGATCGAAATGCATGATTTGGGTTTGTTTTGAGGAGTTTTCATGGGCTATACGCTTTTTGAAGTTTATTATAATGAAAGAACTCAAAGTTTATTTGCTTCAAATATTTATTATTGTGTGATTTGTTGACATAGGTATGGGAACTAAAACTGACATAATTTGATTTTTTTAAAAAAGAAAGATATATTTTCAGAAATCCATGAAACAAAGTGTAAGAAACATCGAAAAGACCAAGAAAATCTTGAACAATAAAAAGCAATAACGGGTAGTGTGTGAAATCGGATTTATGAAAATCCACCTCAATTGTTTGAATTATTAACTATGAAAATGTATTTACAACCTCACGATATAGGCTTCTTCACTACTTCATATTTATCGATTGTAATGTTGAACACCAAACATAGATTCGATGTATTTTATAACCTTCCCAAAAAAACCCTCGGCGTCTCTTAGAACAAATAAATCGATAAATAGAATACAGTGAACGTTTCGTCACATTTGATACAAATTAGTTATGGATTCAATGCTACTCTCTCGGGATTCCTGTGCGGTGGTGTGCAACCATGTTCGTTCTAGTACAGGGATCCCAATAATTGTTCTCAATAACAAGTTGTATAATGTCGACCCAAGTATTACAGTGTTCAGTCTGACTCCAAGTTCATGACGTTTCTATGACAACAAAGTCAGGATGATTTTCCCCCGTGTTTTCTTGAGTTGAGATACCGCTGACTCGTGTGAAACTCCCACAAGACTTTGCCCGTTGACAGCAATTATTTGATCTCCTCGCTTAAGTCGGCCATC